CCTTCTTTTCAGCTCTTATGCAGTTGAATCGCGTAATCCAAGCTAGTAATACTAGAGCTCTCGATATTGAGAACTACACAAAACAGGCAGCAGTTCGACAAAACCAGGTAATATCAACTGTTCGATTTACTGTTAGAAGAGGACATTTACAGGTATTGTGGAACTTTATGAAACTTTTCCATTACGGATCAATCATAGTATTGAATTCTTGTTCCTATGATAATACCAGATTATCCTCCCAAGTTCCGTTCATACTCGAACGCGCATCGGGATTTTGAAGTGTAAAGAAGACTATTGAGTGAAAATGAGTTTTTACAACTTTTTGAGGAAGAAGAAGTCAATTTTCCAAGGATTAGCACCAATGACCTTTTTAGATTAAACGTGTTCTTGAAGGTCATTTTGAAAAATCTATCAGGAGAAAAACTGCAAAGACCATTTTTCTCATGGTGTGGCCGTCCACTTTAGAGAAACGCCTTGTTGGCCTCTTCTGCATCTGTGCTGTCACCAATGGCTGCTTTAGCGATGGCGCGTAATCGTTTTTCTCCTCCGGATATTCTGCCTCTACTGAGAAGCGACGCTGACAGGGATCTTTTGGCAAGTGAGCATAGTCTTCAATACTCTTGATAGTTTTTGCTTTCCTTTTCCATCTCGCTGACAGTGGTGCATCCTTAAGAGTACACTGCAAGGTCCCGAGTGTTAGACAATTCCGATTTATTGGCCGACCGAGCAATTCTATTTGGCCCAGATCTTCCGCGTAATTTCAACTTATTGTTTTATGATTTCCTCCATTGTAGACATCATATTTAGCCGCTTTCCCTCTTCGCGACCCGCCACCGCCAGCGCCACCAGGTCCTCCTCCCTTCTTAGCTCCACCAGTGATTCTGCCTCGTATGTTTCAGCCAAGAATGAGGACAAGAGGTAATTTAATGTCACTGAGTGAAGACCTTAATTTAAAAAAAAAAGCTCAAAAGCTTATTTAACCAAGTGCCACTAGCTTAGATCTTGGCTCTTTTGTTCGCTTTTTCGCATTTGGACGCAACTAAAGCATAACATTTTAGAATTTACTCAGTCTGCATCCCGCTAACAAGTGAGCCATTTCTTTAGGTGTAGCCGTCGTCGAAACCCCATTGTCACTTGATGAGCCAACAACACGCATATTTCCGAGGCCACATCAGCCAAATGAGCCCGAGGAGTTACCAGAGAAACTGCCAACACGGATGAGAGCGGATGAATACAAAAGGAAAGAATATGTAGATTATGTTGTTGTATGATCAAAGGATTTTGTAAATAGAAGATGAACGACTTATCGATTAGAGGTCCAATCTTTCGAAAAATAATGTATTAACATCTGGCCACTTTTCCGTTCCCTTAAGTTTTTTAGGCTGATTCTACATAATATAGACCTCCGCGCTTACTAACCGATCGTCTTGCCTCTGTAGAGGTATTAATCAGAAATTTTTAACAATTATTGCAACAGCAGGTACATTATCCTGGTAGATTGCAATCATTTTTAAACACAAGTCTAATA